TTTGTTTTGAATTATTACATCAGCATTTTGTAAACTTTTATTGCTAAATATGGTACAGCACAGGCTATCAAAGATGGTATTTTCATTACAATACTGCATCCTTTAATCCTGAGATTTTTAAAATAAGATCTTCCTAATAGAACCATTTGAAAAGATTTGTTTCTGTTCACAGCATGTCTTCATCTGTGGAACTGCTGTTCTGCACATGGGGAAGATGAAATGGCAACACACACTAATGAAACCTATTCAAATCTTAATCAAGATTCATAGCGGCCCAACTATCAGAGGCATTTTTCATTTTTGAACTCCCTACCAAACAGCACTCTGTGCTTTACTCTAAAGCAGTAAACCTTTTGCCCCCTATCCTAGAAGCAGTTGTAGCTGCTGTTTAAGGTTGGTTTTCTAAGTTGGCATAGTTATCATCACTGCGGGGCGGAAGGGGGGAAGGTGGTGGTGGTGTTACATGGAAGAGTCCAAGAGCAGGCTCGTACCATACTCGGGCCACTAAGCTGAACCATGCTAATCTAAATGGACCACACAGTAGAGGATTATCCCAGTAAATAAGTTGTTTTGTGACATTTTAAAGACTACATAAAACAGAATAAGACAGAGGCTTGTCTAGAACTGCAAGATATCAATCCAGGATTTCTTGTGTTAATGCAGTAGCCAGGCATTTTTTTGGCATAAGCATGATAAAGCCCAATGCGTGTGCTAAGCAGCAAAACTATCAAACTTGCATGCTGAAATGGTTGCTCACATTCAGAAAACTTTTACCTTGTTTTGAAAAGCATTCTGTCTACTGTGGATGTGTTACACAGCCACCAAATCGAATGCTGTGGATGCCTAGAATTTCTGTCACAGAGATGGAACTCAGCACCATTATGCATATGCAGAAGCAACACGCAAAATACTATCAATACCTTCCACCAAGAATAGGGAATGTCCATACATTCCTGAGTTGGAACAATTCCTCAAAATCCTCATAAATAACATTTCCAGACATAAAAAAAATACACTTCAGAAACAGACAGTCACAGACCTATGACTGCTTATTCAAGGGGATTAACAACGATTTCATTATACCGCTGCACAAAGTATGTGGAATAGTACCAAACAGTAGTGGGAAGATGGATTTGAAATACGCTTCAGGAAGGTCAAGAAAGGTAGTTTCAACTCAATTCAGATGCAGCAAACCTCAGATCTATGCACAGAAGAAGTTATAAACCAGAAATCTGCCAAGTGAGGAACAGTCTCAAGGAAAACAGCAAGCTGTTTGTAAACAGTGACTGACTGCAATTCTTTCTAGAGCTTCCTCCTTTCAAAATAAAGGAATGTGTGACTTTAACCTACTGAGAGCCTTATCCCACCAAAATCTTACCTTGTGTGCAGTTTCTGCAAACTGCTGAGCACTGTTTTTCAGCTCCTCTGTCTTTTCTTCTGCTCGACCTAGCCTTTCACCACGCTCGTTCAAAGCCTGACTTGCCTTCTGTACTGCACTTGTCACACTGTCTGCTGCTGAATGGAGTATGCTGTTTCCTGCAATATCAAAAGAAACTATTAGAACACCCAAATACATATATGCCTTGTATTAAATACAATTATTTTAATTTATAATGTTCCTAGAGCTGATGTGTTATCTGCTAGTTTACCGTCTACCTGCATTTTGGATAATGCGATAAGTTATTGTTTTCTCACTCAAACCATATCATTAGCAAATTATAAACAAATGCCACATTGCAATGTAATACTTGGGGAACGTAAGGAAGCAGTGGACATAACTTAGCTATGTATTATTTTTTAAGCCTTATGCTCATACATAATTTCAGGAAGCTATTCTACTAAATCAACGAAACCGTTCACAAGTGCACACAGCTTCTTCACAACACTCATATTAATATAGAATAACTTTCTTTGGAAGTTACACTATTTCCCTAGAGAATAAATGATTGACACTGCAGGACACGTCTGTATGAATTTACCATTTTTTTCTATATTATAATTATTATAATAATATTTCATTTACAAGTGCACCCCAAACACTATTAATACAGTTATTTTATGCTGCTCTGATCTATCTACCTTTGACCCTTCTCCACATGGAGCACCAGCCATGTTTCATGTGACAACATACTTTATTTAAACCTTAGTATTTAAAGTCCCAGCAAGGCTCAATATCTTTTAAGCCTTTAGCTTTACCATCCAAATCAACGGTTTTTCTGTTTCTTCTCTGGCACACAATGTAGTAGTTTCTTCAAGTTTTTAACTGAACTGCATTTCTCCTCTACGTTTATCCCTCTTAAATGCTCGCTCTTTTCAGTACTCCTTTCCATACTGCTTCTCAACAGAAGGGATTATCCTCTTTTCTGGAACGAGCTGCTGATGAATGTTTATAATATGAACCACAGTACGAACTGAAAACTCTTCAGAGAAAGTTACACATTATCAGTACAAACTGGTACATATTAGAAAACATGTAGGACAAAATTGTCCTATCATTTAACCTTTTCAGCAAAAGGACTAGTAAAAATTCAGCTTTTCGCAATACAGTAGTCCCTTGGTGTCTTCCACAAGCTTTAAAACTTAATCTACCTTACAGGGAATTTGTTGTCTAGGAATTTGTTGTCTGGATATATTCGAAGGCACTGCGAGAGCCAGAAAGCCAATACAGATAGAGTATTAACCACTAGGCGCACTGTCGCTGCCAGTTTTCTAAACTGCCCCAAAAATTATAATCGCACAGAGCCTTTTTTCACAGCATTACAACCAAATATGTAACACTTTTAAATGAATTATGCTGGTAAAGGTATGAAACTAGTTCAACACACAAAGCTGAACCGAGCACTACAGCAAATCTGCTGTTATAACGAAGTCTGCTGTTCTTACAGACATACAAAGACAAGTGAAAATAAACACAGACCTACTGCTTTTATCGTTAATCTGAAAAGTGTGTCTACTTAAAAATATTGCCAGGTTAAAAAATAAAACCCAAACATTAATTTGAGGGTTATTTTACTATTAGTTTCATAAGGAAAAAGAAGTACAAAAGACCCACTCAGACTCATTTTACAGATAATACTCCTTTCCTTAGAAACAGCAAACAAACAATGAAGACCGAAACTGAAGGTTGCCCCAGGTAGCCTGTGGAACAGCAGTACAAGCTGCACATATAGGAACTCCTGAGATAAAAAACTGCCTTAAAATTTTATTAAACGAAACCACAATTAGTATGAAACTATGGAGGTGGGGGAGGGACCCAAGAACCTACACACAGTGACTCACATATGATGAGCCAATATGAGAAATACCAAGCAAAGAGTACCCTGGCCTCCTGTATACCAATGTTGTTACATTTTTCACATTAGTAATTAAAAATAATGGCTGTATAGGATGTGGAACAGCCACAGGTTTGTTTTTTTTCTATTGTTGCATGGAACAGAGGGGCTGCATTTAGAAAAGGAAAGTAACAATTGGCATTAATGTTGAAGAGATGAATATCTGAGAATACTGTGAGTTGGAATTTGCAGAGGCAGAAATGAAACTATCTTTTCAAGTGGTCTCTCTTCAGACACTGAGAAGTCTGATAATAAAACCAAACTTTAAATATTGTACACTTTCTTATTTCAAGATTCTTCAGTCAATTGTTATTTTGTTCATAATTTGCTCGTTTAAAGCCAGTTCCTAGGAGATTATTTTGGCTTCTGTTCAGGTAGCTTTTCCAATAAACACAGGTACTGTGTACAAAGCTTCTGCTGAATTCAAGGGAAGCAGGGTACATGGAGAGCTTTATAAAACTAAGCATCCTCGAAAGTCTTAAAATGTGCTGGGGAGTAGAAGTTGACACATTGTTGACCTTCCGTCAATGTCATTAGGAAATTGCAGAACGAAAATATTCTGTATTTCCTATATTCCTGAAAGTATCAGGATTTGTGGCCAAAGATTGATATCTATTTCTCCACATTGTTTTCGGCACAGAAGAATGAACTTGGAAGTTTGGCATAATGATAGTAATTGTTTTTCTCTCTAGCTAATACAATATTGTGTTCTCTCTCCAGGTAAGATCTGCTGTATTTTTCTATGGGCAGTGACTTGCAGAAGCTGCTATTCTGAGACTGTTTTGGAGAACTACTTTTGGATAATCTTTTCCAATGAAATGTCAGTAAAACAGTAAAAAAAAAATCCACTGTAATCTATGAGCATCACAGAAACCCATGTGTCAGTAGCCTATTGAATTTCATCAGCGTATTTCTAGAGCATGTGTAGGTGGTTGTGGTATGACTGACTATGCCTCGTCCTTACATTAGTATCACTGCAAGAATAGCAACACTTGCACTGGATGTATTGGAGAGTCATTCCTATGAACAAATCACCTGCAACCTTCAAAATTTTTAAGCTGCTCTTCAGGAGATAACTACCGTGATGCAAGATCTCCTGAGAAGTTTGTTCCATGACTGAACAACAAAACTGCCTTAACTGTACCCACTTAGGTGTAAACTTATGCCAGCCAGCTGCACTGAGCCACTGAAGAAAAACCTGAAGAAATGTGACAGTCAACATCTCTTTCCTAGAGTCTGGAAAGACTGTTTTCCATCTTTGCTTAGTTTTTACCAAAGACATGACAACTGCTGTTAACCACCTTTTTTTTTTTTTTCCTTCTTTCTCTCTGAAGACTCTTGAGGGATTTCAGGACTTCTCATCTACTAGGTTAGAGACACAAGCTCCTCAATGGAAGACTTTCAACAGCTTTTCACATACGTCTTCTCAGGAAAGAGATTTCATAACACTTGTAAGATGAGATACACGCCACCAAAATATGGGTATGGGTCAGCTGATGTTCTAAGCTGTTTTTAGTAGGAAAGAACTCGCATTGTTCCCAAGATGTTCAATTCAAAGAGCCTGTGATCTCAAATTTTGCATGGCTACAGTCTCCACTGTGACCAGAAAGAGTCGCATGCTTGTGTTGCTGCTTTTTCTAAGGTATACAGTCTCTATTAAGGGCAAGCACACAGCTTTTCTCTATCTAACAGTATTTGCAGACTCACTGAGTAAGTGGAGCAAATACTGCCAGATAACATGGGGAAAATATGTATTTATACTGTTTAATATAAAATATTAGGTTAATATTAATTTCTAGTATCAACAAAACATGTATGTTTAGGTCAGCTTCAGTTTGAAACTAAACAAATCAAGCTTAATTCAGTGGGTTTCTTCAGTTTAATTTTGCTATATATAAAAGCACAGAAACATAGTGTTAATTTATTTTCAGTTACTCAAACAAGCAGCTTAATAAGGTCACTTCTAATACAGCTTTTTCTTTGGTAATACTTTTTGTCTTATTATCTGAAGTTGTCTACCCAAAGGAAAGGAACATGCAAATTTCTAAATCGATCAATAGCTACACAGCTTGGTAATCCAATTTGCTAAACAAAGTATACATTTTATGTTGAATTTGCTGTAGTGAAATATAAACTATTGGAATTAAACTCCCCACTCCCCTTAGAAAGTTCAATTAGTGACCTGTATAATCATACATAATGTTATTTGGGCCCAAAGGCGCAGAAATAGTAGAGGGACAGTGACCCTTGGGTGAGTGTTTTAGACCTGTGATCCCAGCAGCGTTACTTGCTTATGGACATAAAAACTGAAGAAATAACACTGCAGGAAGCACCGCAGCTCCTCTCAGACTCATTTTTGGTTCTTATGATCACAAGCTATATCAGAGGGTCTTGCAGCCCATGAAATCAGGTGGCCTTGCTTTAGGCCTTTTATCATGCACAAGAGAAAAGTACATCCTTAACCCACCACACCTATTGCCTGAAAGATACAGAAATACTATCATCAATCAGCATGGGAACCGGTCTATTTGTTAAAGAAACTAATTTGTCTCCGGAGATACCATTATTTAGTTTGCATGATTTGTTTTATCACACATTCATAAAAGGTTCGTTGCATTCTCTATTAGCCATATCGAATGTATTTCAGTTCAATGCAGGGATTTATCTGTACATTAATGATAAGACTCCACAGTGAGTGATTTGTAAATGCAAGCATTCACTTTTTAATTGTAGATGCATTAATACAACATTTAGCAACTACCTTCTGAGAGGGAAATAAATGCAATTAGCTATGATAATTAAGAAGTTCCATCTGTCACATGAAAACTTTTTATTTAAAGAAAACAGGTATTTATGGTTCCCATTGAACTGCATAAAACTGGACCTGTGTCACTGAGTAAAGGTTAAAAGCATAATGACAATCAGTTCAAATTCATTAACAAGACCACCTCTATCACAACACAATTATTCTATATGCCTACACATGCCATTTACACTCAGATATACTGGTGCCACTAAAAGTGCAACAAAAGTTTGGATACATTGATTGTAAATACAAAGAATGGCTTTTTGTTAATAGGCAGTTTACAAAACACACTATTTTGTGTTTTGTTAACTGCCTATGCACTCATCACTTAAGAACCAAAAGCATTGAACAATTAAAATATCAATACAAAACTAAAGGACTCCAGGGAAATAAGAAAG